CAATCACAACATACTAGATAGCCTTGATCTCCTGGGCTCAAACAATACTCCTGCCTTAGCCTCCAGAGCAGCTAGAACTACAGGCATGTGCCTGACTGAAATATTTCTTAAAAATCAACCCAGAGTATAACTCAATCAAGACAGTTGCAAGTGGGAAAAAAAAAAAGAAGAAAAAATCAACCTAGAGAAGTAAAACACTAAAAGATTCTTACATTTGCCTCATCTATCTCATACTAAAAAGTATTTAGACATTTCTCTATTAGACATTATAATCAAGCAGAATTCTCTCTTACTCAACATTCTGACGCAACTTTAAACGATGACACAGTTGATCGTTCCCTCCTTGTTGAAAGCTGCCTTTCCTTCACTTCTAGAACATCATACTCCCCTGATTTTCCTCCCAACTCAATGATTTCTTATCACTCTCCTTTACTGGTTCCTCTTCAATCCCCTGGCCCCTCCCCGACCCCCTGATGTATCTAGAGGGTAAATTACATGAAGGTGAAGATTCTGTTTGTTCATCCCAATGCCTTAAAAAGTACCTAGAAGAACCATACTCACTAAATAACTTCTGAATAAATAAGTGAATGAATCAGTGCCCAAGGCTCAGACGTCTGGATCTCTTCTCTACCAAAATTCACTCCCCTGATGATCTCACCTACCTCATAATTTTAAATACTGCAAATACCGCAAATAAGCTGAAAACAGCCACATTTCTCACTCTTCCTAGACATCGCCCTGAACATCTGGTTTCTCCACAAACATGCTCCACCAATTACCATTCTCCATCTCAGTTACTGGCAACTTTATTCTTCCAGTCACACAGGCCAAAAACCTTGTTCTTTATTCTTCTGTTTTGCTCACATCCCACATCCAACCACCAGCAAATTCTATAGGTCTACCCTCAAAATATATCCAAAATCCAACCCCTTCTCACCATTCACCTTGGTCAGATATACTCTCAACTGACAAAAGTACAATATAAGCTCCTATTGCCCATTCATTCATTCAATCATTCATTCATTTAAGATGGAGTCTCACTCATACTGTCGCTCAGGCTGGAGTGCAATGACAGAATGACAGCTCACTGCAGCCTTGAACCCCTGGGTTCAAATGATTCTCCTGCATCAGTCTCCTGAGTAGCTGAGACTATAGGCACATACCACCATGCTAAATTTTTTTATTTTTGCAGAGACATGGTCTCACTATGTTGCCCAGCCATGCCTCCCAACGTGCTGGGAGACCCATTTACTGCTATGATACCAGCACGTAGAATATGTGGTACATAACACGTACTTAATATATACTTATTAAGTAAGTATAGTATTCACAGTAAAACTTAAAAAGATGTTAGTGAACCAGCTAATTATGTGCTTAAATTGTCTAAATACTTGAATTAATTCATCTGACCAGCTTAAGAGGTTAGGTACTGACCAGGCGTGGTGGCTCACGCCTGTAATCCCAGCACTTTGGGAGGCTAAGGCGGGTGGATCACAAGGTCAAGAGATGGAGACCATCCTGGCCAACATGGTAAAACCCTGTCTCTACTAAAATTACAAAAAATTAGCCAGGTGTGGTGGCACATGCCTATAATCCCAGCTACTTGGGAGGCTGAGACAGGAGAATCACTTGAACCTAGGAGGCAGAGGTTGCAGTGAGCCAAGAATGTGCCACTGCACTCCAGCCCGGGCAACAAAAGCGAAACTCTGTCTCAAAAAAAAAGAGAGAGAGAGATTAGGTACTGCTGTTATTTTTATTTTGCAGTGAAGAAATTAAGGCACAGGTTAAGGTTGGGAAATAAACAACACTAAGCATTTTGCCCTACATCATACCATGGCAAAGCCAGGATTTGAACTCAGGCACTCTGACTCCAAAACCCAAACTATAATACACTGCAAGACTTGGCAACAGATTTAAATTATATTCCATACAAAAATAAAAATAAAATAAATAAGAGGCCAGGCACAATGGCTCACGCCTGTAATCCCAGCACTTTGGGATGCCAAGGCAGGCGGGTCACAAGGTCAGGAGTTCAAGACCAACCTGACTAACATGGTGAAACCTTGTCTCTACTCAAAATACAAAAATTAGCCTGGTATGATGGCATGTGCCTGTAATTCCAGCTACTTGGGAGGCTGAGGCAGGAGAATCACTTGAATCCAGGAGGTGGAGGTTGCAGTGAGCAGAGATTGAGCCATTGCACTCTAGCACGGGCAACAGAGCAAGACTCCATCTCAAAAAAAA